GTACCAAATTACTAACAATAATTGTCTTATTAAAGTAACACTAAAGATAATTTCTATTTCCTTCTTTACATTTCCCTATATTCTCCTTATGAGCTAATGTGTTTTTGCTATGATATCCAAAAAATAACAAGTGTTATTTTTAAGTAGAGTGATATGGCCATGATAGGAAGTTTAGGAATGTGGTGACAACAGAATGATAGCTCAATGACAGAGTCAAAGAGCACTCATTCAAAGGTTGAACACCTAGGAAAATAAACAAAGAAACTACAGAAACTTGTTTCTTTACTAATCCCTCAGACCCCTTATACAAAGAACTCCAGAAGCCACAAAAGACAAGCTACAGCATTTGGAAATAATTTGAAATTACCTGTTTTGTTTAAAGTTGACAACACTTCTGAAGCAGCATCTAAAGTAATAACAAACAGCATAATTACTGGTATGGTTGACAAATGTGACTCTTCCCAGATTCCTGAAACACTTCAATTTCCCTGAAATCTAAAAGTTAGAATTTTGCAAAAACTAACTGGTACTAGCCAATGCACCACCGCCATGCCCCATTCTCTGTTCTTCAGCCCCAAGATGAATTTGAGTCCACATCCATTCTTTGATAATATATTTCCTGAATGCCTGTTATGTGTATAACACATAGTGACACTCCAATATTTATTAGACTTAATTATAATTATACCCACTTATGTTATTTAATATTTTTGCCCCATTGCAAAAAAGAGGGTAGAAAGATTGTAAGAGTCAGAGGTCAAAGAGAACAAGAGTGAAACAGTGTCTTCTGGACATGACAGCACTCCTGCACACATGAACTCACAACAGCTGTGGTTACCTGCACAAGATCAGTCCAGTTAACATTCCAGCATGGAATGAGAAGGGGATAATGAGATACTCCTACCCCTAATTGAGGATGCTTTTTGGGGGAGAGAGAGTTGACCACCCTTCATTGGATGGCTCCATATTCAAGACTATATGGGCAGCACAAATTGGAGTTTGATGGGTTATTAAAATTTTTAAAAAGAGGACAAGAAGTTGGGGTTGGGTAGGGAGGTGAAGGTGGACCTGGAAGGAGTTAGTGAGGAGAGTGGAGGGTAACTGTGATCAAAATACATTGTATGGAATTCCTCCAAAATTAATAAAAATGTTAAAAAATTGTCCTTTCCTCAGGTTAATGAGAAATCCCTCATGAATGTGAATTTTATTTTATTTTATTTTTTGTTTTTTTGAGACAGGGTTTCTCTGTATTGTTTTGGAGCCTGTCTGGAACTAGCTCTTGTAGACCAAGCAGGCCTCGAACTCACAGAGATCCACCTGCCTCTGCCTCGGGAGTGCTGAGATTAAAGGCATGTGCCACCAACGCATGGCATGAATGTGAAATTCACAACATGAATAACAACTTTCATAGCCCTGAGGATACTTAGTAGCTTTTTACCAGTGGCACATTCTTACAAAGTAAGTCAAATAATGCTAGTTTAGGTTTAGTGTTCTTAAGCAACTTTTAGGAAAATTTTGTTTTGATCCCATTTGATATAAAATCCAGTTAAAATGGACTCTACTGATATTTCTTTAAATGAAAAGAATTATAGAATTTATTATTAGAGATGAAATTTTAGGAAAAATGGTATGATGCAGGCACAGTGGCACATGCCTGCAATCTTAAAAATTGGGATGCCAAGGCCAAAAGATTGTGAGTTTGAAGCCAGCCTTGGCTACTTAATGAGACTTCATCTCAAAAAAAAATAAACAAGTAAACAACTAAACAAACACAATGCACTATCATGGTTAAAACACATCCATATATATTCCACACATTACACAACACAATAAAAAACACTGCTGCCAATGCTAAATTGAAGATAATCTTTTCACTGAACAAAGTAGTTACACACAAATATGACAACTGCTGGTTCTTCACATTGGATGAATTATGAATTTAATCAGTTTCAATCAGTATAAGACACATCTATGATTTTTTATCTCCTTAAACACCAATCACAGGGTAGAATTTTATTTTAAGCAAGAGATTCTGGGAAGTGTTGAAGTTTGATTGAAATAAGAAAGAAAACTGTTTCCATTCAGAGGGGAGAGAACAGAATGTCCTGCTCCACCTTCTTCCCTGGGATAGAGTAAGGTTCTTTGTCCTTTTGTCTAACATGATGAGAAGCCAGGGTTTTCCCCCATTTCATGCTATTTAAAAGTTGATAAAAATCACTAATAAAGAGACTGTCTTTGAACACTCTGTCCTCCCTTTTCAAGCTGAATCATATTGAAGTCACTGGATGTGCCTCCCACAGTTAAATAATCTGTCATGTCAAGTTTGCTGTCATCGTGTTAGAGAACAAACAAAATGGAGTACTTAAAGTGCAATTAATGTTTCTAGTATTTTCTAGAATAGTTACAGTGGTAGACTGATTCTTTTTTTTCCTTCCATGGTTGCAGACATTTAATCAATTAACCAAATGGTTACTCTCACATGTAGGCAGGTTTTAAGTTTTGGAGTGTTGGATTATATGTGATTACTTAATGCATCCAGATATAATTTGGAGATAGAAATCTTTATCACCACTCATTGAACTTCTACTTGTATGAAGGGTTAGCAATTTTCACTTGCTTCAGAAACATTCTTACCATTGAGGCTTGTGGTTTCTACCTCTTTATTTTTCCCAAGGAGAAGAAGACAAAGGTATAATTAAAACAAAAACTTAACAAATTGGACTACATCTAGGCTTAAAGATTTTCAAAATCTTGCCTGGTGTACCATTGGAGTAGGGGACAAGACTGACAAGAGATGATTCAGCTGCAGAGAGAAGAAAAAATAAGTGAATGCTTTGAAATAATTATATTTCTTTTGCGGCAAGGTCTCAATGTATAACCCTGGCTTGAAACAACTATTTATGAAATTTAAAGAAGTCATAACTCTTCAGATACAATTATAAAAAGTAGAAAACGTACTATGAGACTCAAAATCATGGAGTCTGCTGCACATTTAGAATACTGTGGCAATAAGTTAGGAACCTCATTGGAATAAAATAAATGATAGTTTCATTATTTTTCTAGTCAAGAGAGTTCTAGAAAATATGTAAAATAACTTGTTGAACTATAGTCATAGATATATTGTCATGCTGACTCTATACTATTATAATGATGCCTGACAACTGCCAGGTCTTCCCATAGTACATTTGGTACATATATAATACCATTCAATATTGTAGCACCTATCCCATTTCTTGGTAAGCCATTTTAAAATATGGCTGCTATTAAGGCAATAAAGAGAGTCATACATTTCTTGTGGAATGACTCCATTTATGCTAGGAAGTCAATCTGCTACACACATTTCATACGTTTAAATATTTAAGAGATTCAGTGGTTTGATCTCTACCTAAACATGAAGAGACTCACAAACACTTCACAACTAAAATAAGTCCTATAGTAGAGAGCTTGATTTTCCGATGGTATAGACAAAATCTGGGTGTGTCAAAGCACTTGGCTGGCCTTTTTCAGACTGCTCATGGGTTGGCTAAAAACACACACACCCTGTCTGTCCCATATTATTGCTTTCATATTTTGTCATTCACTATATTTATTCTTTTAAACAATTGCTAAGATCTTTCTTGGGGAATAAAACTGGTCCTAGGCAATTCAAGTCAAAGGGTGCTTATGGGGCAGAACAAAATAATTGGCCATAGCCAGTATTTAATGAATAACGATTAATTCTTTTGGATGTTGACAAATGGTGACACATAGTTGTCTTCCTGGACACTACACTGGGTCTTTTGGTTTGTGCATCCCTACCTTCAGGGCACCCAGAGCCCAAGTTATGACTAGAACTCCCAAAACACTACTCTCCATTCTATACAAACAGAGTTTTGTAGACTTTGCTATGATTGTGTTTTCCAAAAGCTATTCTACTAGAACAGTTGTTCTCAACCTTCCTAACACTGTGAATCTTTAATAGAGTTCCTCATGTTGTGGTGACCAACCAACCATAAAATGAGTTTCATTGCTATTTCATACCTGTAATTTTGCTACTGTTACGAATCATAATGTAACTATCAGTGGTTTCAATGGTCTTAGGTGATCCCTGTGACAGGGTCATTCAACCCTATAGTGGGAAATTACCAATACGGAGTCAGGTAGAAATATAAGGGTATTTAATAGGAAAAAGCCTTACTTACAGAGCAACCGAGCCAGCTGGCGTGGTAGAGGTCTGTACAGCAAGAAGCAAAGAGAAACCGAAACCAAAAACGCAGTCCCACTACATCACTCTTACCACGCCCTCACAAGCCTGGTCAGGCACACCTGTAGCCAGCCCCTAAGAAGGCGTGGCTACAGCTTCCCCTACACAACCCCTAAAGGGTCTTGACCCACAGGTTGAGGACTGCTGTACTAAAAGTAAAATACACTAGCATGCTGAGTCTAGAAACTCAACAACTAGTGGGAAAACTGACAAGGACAAAAGAGCTTGGTTTGGTGGCTTAAGCTTCAGGGCTTGAATCTTTACCTCATAACGTAATAACTCATGCCAATGACAGTCTCTTATTTATCCTACAGCAAGAACATGGGGTCTCTTATGTCATCTTTAAATATCCCACAAAGCAATACTATTGCTCTCCTCAATTTGCAGAGAAAGAAACTGAGACACAAAAAGGTTAAGCAACTTCCCCCAAATCTGAGCTGGTGGTGGAGGTGTGAGGGTGATGGCTTAACTCAAACCCGAGAGACAGATTGGCTCCAGAAAATGTGTTAATATGATCAAGTTTCCCCTGCTGAGCCTGTTTCCACATCTATGATTCCTGTGTTACAAGCCTGAGAGAAATGAGATGTGTGAAGACTTCCAGGTGCAATAGTACATGCATAATAAAGGGTTGCAATTACTATTTGATTTAGACGATTGAAGGAATAACAACAGAAGATCATTTTCACAATCCTGAGGATAGGATACCAACTGACTCACAACCCTTCTAGGACACGTGGTATATCAGAAAGAGGATAGGTCCGACACAAAGAAGCCATTTGCTACCTCTGTGTGATGTGGGGCAAGAAGCTGTGAGGTCTTAGACAAGTTAGTCCGTAACCCTGGGCTGGGTTCTCTCACCATAAGATACTAGGATGCTAGTTCCAGCTGTTAGTCTCACATTAGAATACTGTTCTCAATTCTGTAGGTTCAAGTTATACATTCCTCTTTAGTTTATTTGCCTTCCCATTGTCATGTGTGCTAAGTTCTTAGAAGCCTCTGGAAAGATTTAGTGAAGCACTGAAGGAGTGTATGTAAGAGAACAACTCCCCTTGCAAATACAATAAATCATGGTACGTTTAAGTTCTTGATGCTGTTCAGACTTGTGAGCTAGAATACTGAACATAGCTGAAGCGTTTAAGCTGCTACCCAGTGAAGTTCATAGTCCCTAGAGACTTATTCCCCAGCTTTGCTAGGCAATATGGAAAGATCAATATGCCTGTTTGCTCTTGGTGTTGTAGGTGTATGTTTAATGACAATTAATTTAACCATGCTTCTTAGAGGAAAACAGTTGTGCTGTGTCCATACATCACACTGCACAGAGAACTTGGGAGTAATGCTTTCCTGAGATTCCCCAAAGTCACAAGATAACTCTTACCAGATGGTGAGAGCAAACTGGAATTTCCGGCGTTCTCTGTCAAGGAAAAAGGTGATTTAGCATTAGTTCGGTTTGTTCACATATTTGTAGGAGAATGCACACATGCACATGTACGTGCTGCTGTATGTTTATGCAAAAGCTGGAGGAGAATATTGAGTGTATTCCTCTATCTCACTTCAACTTTACATTTATTTGTCTGTCTGTCTATCTATCTATCTATCTATCTATCTATCTATCTATCTATCTATCTATCTATCTATCTACAGGGACCTTCACTCAATCTGAAATCTGAAGCTCATTGTTTGGGCTAGGCTCACTGGCCAGTGAGCTCCTGGCACCTACCTGTCTCTGTTCCCCAACACTGGGCTTATAGGCACATGCAACCATGCTGGATTTTTACGTGGGTTCTGAGGATTTGAATGCAGATCCTCTTGCTTTCATGGCAAGCACTCTTACAAACTAAGCCATCTCCCCATGTCCTCAACTTTTAACTCTTTGTAGTGCTCTATGTGTGGTGTTGTTTAATGTATAAATGCATAATGCACACTTCAAACTATGGAGATGGCTAAGACTTTAAGCTGTTGTTTAATAATTGAATATGTAGAAAATGCACATCTGCACAAATGAAATTTTATTAACTATGCTTATTTTTTAATACAAACTTTTTGGTCTATTTTACCACCTCTTTCTTCTGAGTTGAACTAGATCATCCACCTTTGGGTGAATAAACTACAAGAACTGTCGAGTTATTTGTTTTGGAAAAATGCTTGGATCCCTTAAAAGAAAAGACGTTCTATTTTTTTTTCTGTGCAGGAAAGTAATAAATGCTTGGGACTGGTGAAATTGCTCAGTGGTTAACAGCATTTGCTGTTCTACAGGACCTAGATTCGGTTCCTAGCACCCACATAAAAAATCAGTATGGCCATATGTGCCTGTAATTCCAGTGTTGGAGGCAGAGACAGATAGATAGATCATGGAAGCTCACTGGCCAGCCAGCCTAGCCCAAACACTGAGTTCTCAGTCTAGCCCAGAGGTGTTGGGTACTCTGAAACTAGAGTTGCAGATTGATTATGAGCAAACATGTGGATTCTAGGAATAGAACTCAGGTCTTTTAGAAGAGCAGCCAGTGCTTTTCGCTGCTGAGTTATCTCTCCAGCCCTAAAGCTAGACATTTAAAATCTGTTATTCTTTCTTTTTTTCTTTTAGCATAATTTTCCCTTTGGATATCAGCTTACTTTTTCTGTCTCAGAACTCTCAGTATGAGGTTCCATTGTTCCACATCACCCATCATGGTCCAATATAACCATCTCTCCACATGTCTTATATGCTTTATGCTTTCCTGAGTACTATCCTGGATTTCTCTGGGGGTTTGCCCCCATTCACTTCTCACTTACAATAAACATGGGGTTGTCATTTCCAATGTCATATATTTGAACTCCATGCTACTCTTAGGAGACAAAATATTTCCATTGCTAAAAAGATTCATAAACAAAGAAAGGAAAAATTTAAGAATTTTTCAGATGTTTTTCTTTGGAAACCTATAAAGAAAATCTTAAATTATTAATTTATTGAAATCTTGATTTAAACCCATAAACACTATTATTGGAATATGTCTATAAAATTTATCTAATATGACTCTGATGAATTTTTCTGATGAGTTTTTAAAAATAAAGTCCATATATTCTAATTATGGTGAGAATAAATTTATAATGGAAGCCAGAGCCTGAAGAATAGAAAACTCAAGAAAATAGCTCCATAGATGGAGACTTCTTCCCCACATCACTTCCTTAGCACTTGTTTACAACATTATTTCCATCATTTCCCAAACTCTAGTGTCATGTGTTCTAGCGTGGTGCCGTATGATTGTACCACTGACATTGTACCACTCTCCAACTCAGTGTATCCAAGCACTCAGCCTTCCTCACCCCATATTAGTTTAATATTTGATCTGTTCTTGAACTTAGTATTGCTGTTAACAATGACTAAGTAACTCAAGTTGAAAATTTAAGTGTATTGGTTACTTCTTGCATCACTATTCTA